TGGACGGCGTTTAGGTTAGAGTGAAGTCCCCTGATGTTGCAGAAATTCACGGATAGCGTGGCAGGGGTCGCCTTGGTATTGTTGCTCAGTTTGCCCCAAGCAGTTTTGTTTTTGAGCGGAATTTTGCCCCCCCCAGAATACGCGGGGCAGCCTGAGCACCCACGCTCAGGATTGGAATAACATGGTCGTGGATGCTCAGCGAGGGATTCTCCAGGGGTACTGGTACCCTCCTGGGGTAGTCTACTTTGTAATTCCGCTACCATGTTGATGGGGGGGGGAGGGGGGGGGAATTGGGCCTCCGGCCACCTGCACTCACCAGACGAAACGCAGAAGCAAAGCCTCTACTTCACGCCGGTATTCTGTGAGGTCGTGGTACCAACCCGGCTCGAGCCTGCCCATACGTGCAACAGCAAAAAAACTGCTGCGGGGCTCTACCACAGTATATAAATAGATATACAAATAGGAGGAAATATCAGATGTTGTGAATATTTATTTTTCTCAGTAAAGTAAATATTTTCTCAGTTAAGTAAATATGAGATCATGACTACAACTCAGAATATAAAAACTAACTGAATGATTTGATGATGCTTTGCAACGTGAAATTGGAGTCTAAATCTCGTATCACAAAGCGGAGTCGATACATTGCCACGGACAGTTTTTAATATCTAACAGCTTGGTAGCGAATTCGCTATGTGTTTGGCAGTAGCGCTTTATCTGAGAGTTCAAATCTCGCACGAAACAACGTTTTGAATGGACTACAAACCGATCTGGATATTTATCCATGTTGTGCAATTTATGCATGTAAAACACTACGATGCATGGAAATGATAACGTTTAAAAAAGCATTGACGTTTTCATCAATATTCCTGTCTTCATCACCTGAAGGTATTGAAAAGCAGTAGAATTTTATGGACTTCAGTCCATAAAAGTCTACTACTGACCGTGAGCCTCTCCAGTTGCAGGAAGAATTTTGATTAATCATCACGTGTGACAGGCTGATTGGTGATCGTGGTACCAGACGTCTTGCATTTTGACCTTGCTGCCCGTCATTGGTCTGGGTATTTACGTCTAATGCAAACGAGATATATAACCATGTCACCGCCATCTATTCAAGACCATAAGATTTTTCTGGCAGGCTGATGAATTTTCTTACACAGGCATATTTTACTATTGATATTATAATTATGACTTGACTTTAGTATTGTAAGATATCTCCATATAATTAGTAGTGTATGTGTACGACTACGATTTTATAAATAAACAAATAATATTGTGGTATTTCCAAAACACACACGTCACCAGAAAACATGAATACGATGAAGTAAAGGGCGTATTGGCCTTGGGGCTATACGGTAGTGTATATCTCTACGCCATAAACTAAATACATAAAGAGATACTTAATGTTAAAGGAAAACAAATAAGATTTAATTTTAATGTGCAATAAGAACGTTGTACATTCCTTTAACTATGGTTTGAGGAACTGTTATAGAGCTTGTTACTCGTTCGGTTCTGAACTCTTTTATCTACAACCCCTTAAGTCATTTGCATCGAATTTGGGCTTCATTAATAAAGGATAATAAATAAAAAAGGGATAATATCATTCATTCTTGAAATTTGTATCCTTTTATTGACCTAAATAAAAACATGACCTTCAGCGTTTTATCTTGCGTTTACGGTTAAACTTTTTTTTAATTATAACTATATAAATTAAATATTGATTAAGATATTGGTGAGGTAACTTTCAAGTTGAAGCTAACCGCAGATCGATAAACCGCATACCGAATATCAATAATTTGTAGTTATCTATTATTTGATGCCAAATTTCAAGTTTTTAAGTCATCTAGTAGAAGTTGTCTATGTTTTTGATGAATGAATCTAAGTGATAAAAATGACGCTCATTACAGCTCAATTATTCAAAAACAGGTTCATGGATAATATTTGAGATTCTAGGTATTCAAGCGACCTTATTACACATGCAATAATTAAAACATTGTTTTTTTTTTTATAGGAGAGGGGGCAAACGAGCATGCGGCTCACCTGATGGTAAGTGACTACCGCCGCCCATGAACAACCGCAACACCAGGGGAATTGCAGATGCGTTGCCGGCCTTTTAAAAAGGAGTAGGCTCTTTTCTTGAAGGTCCCTAAGTCGTATCGGTCTTATAGATTCTAAGTTCGAAAGTAGCTTGAAATGATGCGTGTAAATATAATTACACATTGCACGGTGCGTCGCAATTTCCTTTTCTGTACTTGACTTACACACGGCTGTGCGCCTAAATTCATTTTAAAATCTGAAATTGCCAAGCGTTGCGATTACGGTATCTCTCAACTTGGGAGAGGTCAACGTCCAATGAACTTTTACAAGACGGTGAAGTCTTTACTATTTCGAAGTGGCAATATTATATGAAAGTCACCTTAATAACAAACAATTAAATTCTAAAATAATATTCTAAGAATATGAAAAATAACTGAAGAAAGTATTTATACACACAAAACAACCGTCAATCTATATATTAATACGTGAAGGGAAAACCTTTTTTTTATAGAATTGGGGCGATAAACGAGCACACAGACCACAGATGGTAAGTGGACGATGTGGCCCATAGCTATAGCAATCTACATTTATCTTCGATTAAAAATCAAAATGCAGATGTGTTGTCAACCCTGAGGACAAAGATGGAATGAATGCCTTGTTTCCAGTAAAAAGGGTGTCAGGTTGTCTACACCCACCATACGAAACAGCAGCGTTAAGCTGCTATTTTAAGCTGCGACCGAAGCGAGCCGATCCTTTCGTGCTACAAACATAATATAGCTGCAGCGTGGTTCTACCACGTAAGCCATTTATATATGATGTATGTTACAAATGCATTAAATTTGACATTGTTTACGTTCATATTCACTTCCCCAAGGAATGCCACAAACCTCGTGACCGTGCTTTGTGGCATTCCTTGGGGGAGGCCTATGTTCAGCAGTGGACTTGTGAAGGGCTGTAATGAGGATGATAATGAAACAACGAACATCACGTCACGTCGCTATGAATCAAGTATATTATATGTTAAAAATCTGTTTAAATACTTAATTAGGAATTTGATGTTGCTGCACCCCACATGATCCAGTAACTGTGTTCCTAAAGTCAATTTTATGCATGGTGTAATTAGTGGAATACAATAATTTTTAAGCATAAGTTCAGCAAGAAAAATTAGTCTAAAAGAAACTTCTTAGAGCTTGCAATTTCCCCATTCTATTTGTAAGGTTTTATTTAAACACGTAGTGGAAAGTGTGTATATAAAAAGTTTCAATTATTTATTTTAAAAATCGTGAATCTAAAATAATCGTCAGTAGATTACGAAACTCAAAAGCCGTGGGTCCGCTTCCGCTATTCGAGTGAACCACACCTAGAGCAAAAGCATTTTACGCTTAGTTGGGGTGTTTTATTAATTTAAAAGCACTTACGCCTTACACTACGCCTTTATCTTTATATATAAAAATTACGTGTCACGTTGTTTGTCCGCGATGGGCTCCTAAACTACTGAACTGATTTCAATAAAATTTTGCACACTGCGTTCAGTTTGGTCCAACTTGAGAGATAGGATAGTTTCTATCCCGATAAGTGACTCTACATTTTTTTATTGCTAATTTCCGGAGTTTTTATAGGAAGGAGCGTCGGAAAGGGCAGAAAAACGTCTGCCTGGCCAGCTAGTATAATATATAATGTGGCCACGCTGCATTACGGTGTGCTACAAACAGTCGTCGGCTCGACCGGGAAAGAACCACGCTTTCACAGTATAGTGACTAGTGAGTGTAGAGAACCGGTGACACTTTTTCCTGGTAGCGCGCTACTGCATTTTAGTTTTCAGCGGTACGACGCATTTACATTTTTAATTGAAGATATTATATAAATATTGTTTATGGCAGCCTGGAACTCGGCCGCTGCTGGTCGCCTAAGCTGGTCCAGGTCTCAGACATTTACACATCACTAAACACTACTTGCCATGCACCTCACACCCACTTATGGCCTGACCGAGCCTTGGGGCGATCTAAGAGTCGAAAACAGGTACCTACTATATTTCCCTAGCCTTCTCCCATATAGCTTAGTATTATAGGAAATTCTTCCATATGGCCTTTGGGCCCGACCCGTGTCTGCCCGTCGAGAAGGCTGCTATGGGTCCCAGCCTGGGCTACCTTTGCAGGGGCAGCTGCGGGCCGTAACAGATATTTACCACAGAATTACCGTCAAATATTAAACTGTGTTCTCGAATTCGTTTATCATTCATACATCTATACATATATAAATAAAGTTGAAGTGTCTGTACGTAATACCGAAAAAAACTGATTTCTATTAAGCTCAGGGGGTTATTTGCATGCTATTTAGACACAAACAACCATATTAAAAGTATTGTCAGTCAATCTGTCTGTCTATCCGGACTAATCTTCGGAATGACTGAACCAATTGTGATGAAACAGATAAAGAGCAATGCTAAGAGTGCATACTTTATGCAAAAAGCTTATAATTGTTTTGATCGAAAAATTAATAAAATAAATGGTATTTTTGAAAATAATCTTAAATCTAATAAACACCACCACATTAATAAACCCTACCCAGGCGAAGCCTTAGCGAGTCGCTAGTGTATAATAAAATACCACCGATAATAGGTGCCCTTCCATAAAGTTATAGTTAAACCTTTGATTATATAATGTCTAGATAGAGCATAAAATGCGCGCAAACGTGTCAATAAATATCAGTCAGCTGTTGGCTTATAAGTTCTTATTATTCACACACACAGAGACATAGACGCACAGTGTAAAACACCGGCCACACGCTGCCGCACGCAAACATGCTTGAAATAGTTGGTTCGTTTTTTGTTTTGATTGTAGGGCGACGCTCCATCTAGACATTATATAACTTCGGAACTTGTTTACAACCGCACAAGGTTGTGTCACTCGAGATACTATGCCGATGTCACTGTTTACATACAATTAGTAAAAACAAATACTACTCACAGCCGCCGGGCCACCATTTGTATGCGGTGAGAGTTGGGCTGTGCAGCACGAACTCTTTAGTGGAGGCGTCGTACGTAGCAGTCGTCTCCAAACCGCGGATAAACGTGCCGTGACCGAGCTCAGTCTGTGAATAAAACCGGTTTTATTATGATGCTAAGGTTTTTGCGATATTACCAAATTACTGGTATTGAAAGTTGTTTCAAACCTAGTTCATAGATTTCACAACGCATCTAATATTTACATTTTAATTTTAAATCATTCGCATAGTTATTCTATTACACAATGAGCGCTCCTTCCGAGCGCCTGCTGCCTACGCACACTAATACAACCAAAGTCAAAACTTCATCGTGAAATTTACTTTTTACTTATTATAAGCCAGTGCTTGACCACAATCTCACCTGGTGGTAAGTGGTGATGCAGCCCTAGATGGTAAACCGCATTGTCTTAGCGTAACAAAAGCTTATTCACTTTTGCCTTGAAGACGCCCAGATTGTATTCGGACGGAAAGATGCCGGCGTCTGCAAATTATTCCACTCCTTTGCTGTACGCATTACAAAAGACGAAGCAAACCGTTTATTTCTAACGCGTGGAATATCGACAACATAGGGGTGAAGACCCGCCGACCGCCTGGTTGTCCGATGGTGGAAAGGAGAGGAAGGAATTAAAGCGTGTAATTCCTGCGCACACCGAAATGCATCCTATAGATGGAATAACTATAACAAGTAACCGTATGTATAGTGGCGGTGTAAGAATATCCACCTACCCACATCGTCACTTGGATGGCGATAGAGGGAAACAAGCCAATAGATAGTCAGCAGTGTCTTCCTAATAATAACTAGAAAATAAAAAAGAATATGTGGTTGAAACAAAAACCTGACAAGCGTAGCAACTATGGCAAATATTTCCCTTATGAGGCGACCTATGGGATCTATATGTTCACCAGTGGACTTTGATACAATGGTGATTTGATTATGTAGTGTATGGATGGATACTATTGTGACAGGAGTATTCATAGCTATTTTTAAGCACCAGAAGGCATGTTTTTCTAGAAAATTATGCCACCAAAATGTATGACTATAACTATTTATATTTTCCGATGGAATCAGTAGTATAGTTACTCGCTGTAAGGCATTTAGTCTTAGTTTCAAAGGTGTCAACGTAGCTGTAATCTTTTTGAAATTGATGTACGTTGCTGGTACCCATGGGTAGACTGTCAGAAGTTCGTCATTTGTATTTATTGTTAGAAAAATAACTATAATTCAAACCTGTGCGTATGTGCCAATGATGTTGAGATTGAATGCCCTGCCGATCCAGTAAGCCTGTTGCTCGACTGTGCCCTGGCCCATTAGCGTCGGTATGAACATCACATAGTGCAACGTGAGAGGAGAGCCGTCGCCCAGAATTGCTGAGCCTAGTGTGCCACCTAAGAGCGCCCTGGGAATAATGTCATTATTAATAGTTTATTGTTAATAACTACAGGCGAATTAATCTAAATAATTTGGAAAATTAAGCAGGCAGGTTTATTTATCATTTTATCCCGTTGTTTATAAAATCGTATCTATTTTTGGGGAAGTCGTAATTAAACACTGCTGCTATGCTGCAGAAATGAGTATGGGGATGTTACCAATCCCGATGAATGGAAAAGAGATATAACTTAATTAAAAAAAATTAAAAACTCCCGAAACTAATGGACCTGATGTTCTTCACAAACGGCAGACCATTTTCTTGAAATATGGCTAAGAACACTCTCCCTTAAGACAACTTTCAAACGAAAAAAACGTAATTAAAATCGGTTCATCCGTTCAGGAGTTATGATGCCACAGACAGACACACAGATACACACTACAAACTTATCCTACTAGTCTGTTTTCGTCGGGGGTTAAAAAGGATCATTACTGGCTCGTAAAGTCGACTTTTACGATACATAGGTACAAGGTGAAATAATTTTTGTTTAATTAATGTACCTACGACTATAATTTCGTACCATTTTTAGCAAACATAAAAAAAGGAAAAGATTTACAATTCCAGTGTATGTTCTTTTTTTGTATGTATGTCACGCGATATCTTTATCGATTGTCAACCGAAATTGGTGATTCTTTTTTTATTAAATAGGTATATTTCAGGGGAAGTTCCATTTGAATCTGAAGAAAAAATTTCAGCCCTAAGGGTGATAAAATAAGGGATGAAGTTTGTTAATGTAACTCTTTAAACGACATTGAGGTTGTAATATTCCTTAGTACACTCAAAAGTTCAAAAAATTACTTTAATAAAAAACAAAAATCGACTTATAATTATATTTATACTAGCTGTCCGCCCCGGCTTCACACGGGTGATTTCTGGATATCGACAACACCGGGTACAATTGTGAATCTAAAACATCCAGGGATTCACACACACAAAAAATTTCATCAAAATCAGTCGGGCTATTTTAGAGTTTTAGCGAGACTAACGAACAGCACTTAAGAGTGTGGTGGCGCCTGTACGTCATGTTTACAGTTTCAAATCAGCATTTTTAGCTAGCCACCGCTAGGCAAGTCAGTTGCGCCCGTCACGCACCCCCTTCGTTACCTTGGTAGCTCGGTAGTTTAGGCTTTGCGTAGCTTTAGTAATTTAGTTTAAAGTTAAAGTTACAGCCTATATACGTTCCCACTGCTGGTCACAGGCCTCGCCTCATTTCTGAGAGGATTTTAGGGCAAGGAAATGTCTGCCGCGCTGCCCCAAAGCGTGTTGGCGAACTTCCACATGTCTTCGAAAAATTTTTTCTTATTTCTCAGACATGCAGGTTTCCTCACGATATTTTCTTTCACCGCCGAGCACGTGGTAAATCAGCACTTAAAATTGCAATTAACAATTTCATTGGGCGAATTGAACCCGGGTTGCTCGCGTACTGTGAAATTTACCGCGAGCGCTAACCATCTGAGCTACCACGGCTCTCTAATTTAGTTTAACTAAGGAAATTATTGTGGAAATGACAATACATTCATATATATGAACAATTGACCCAGACCTGATTACATACCTTTTCACACAGATCTGTTATTACTCTATAACAGGCTATTTTTCACTATAATTAATTTAAGATATAAAAGCAGGATCAGTATAAAATACCAAAAAAGCTGTGGTTAATAATGAAACGAAATGGTGAAACGATTAACGAAAGTTAAAACAAAAACAACTAAGTGAAGTGAATATGAGGGATATTGATCTGTGATCGAATACTTTAATTGTTGTTGTAACTACTACTTGTTGGAATGTTGATATTTTTTTGTATTTTTTATTATTATTTTGTAGATATGTACGCAATTATTTTTTATCTCAACAACACAGAAAAATAATCGAAAATAGATATTAAAATGCTTTATTATATTGCGCTCGTTTCAAATTGAATAGAAAATCTGTCTTTCTTTTAAGTAAATAGTTTGAAGCATTTCAGTATATAAAAAGTACTCTGTGGTTTGAAGTTTGAACTGTCAAGTCAAGTTTCAAAATAAGAAGATTTCACTAGTGTATTCTTTATGGTAATCGATTGATTGCCTTAAATATAATGCCTTACACAACAATCGATTTTCTAACTTATTTCTTATTTTATTGTTTTTTCGAATTCTAGATTGTAAAAAGAGCTACTTTTTTGTATTTTACTTTATAAAAATATGATCATTTTTAAAGTATAAACCAATTAGTTAACTGCAGGCCCAAAAATCCCATTTCCCTTTCCTTTCTACAACACTTTTTCTTTTTTCTACGCTGATAAAGTGTGCCACTCCTTGTTTATCATAATATAAAGATAGATATGTGTACTTGTACCTTCTAATAATACAGATCAAGAAGCTATTATCGATAATTTTTGTAATTAGCGTATCACATGATAATTTATAAAATATTATGTAAGTCTTCAACAAATTATGTAAGAATAAAGATCTTTATTGCCAAACAGCGCCTAGAAACAGAGATCTATTTTGGACGATTTGTGGATGATCAAAGTAAATAGATTTTTTTGACATTTTTCTACGTGGTAGAGGCATGCTGCAGCTATATTATAGTATATTTGTAGCACGAATGGGTCGGCTCGACCGGGGAAGGACCACGCTCTCACAGAATACCAGCGTAAAATAGCAGCTTAATGCTGCTGTGTTTCGTATGGTGAGTGTAGAGAACCGGAGACCTATTTTACTGGAAAAGAGGCATTCTATCTTAGTCCTCACGGCTGACAACGCATCTGCATTTTAATTCGCAAACAAAGATAGATGTAGATGTCTATGAGCCACAGCAACCACTTACCACCAGGTGGACTATGTGCTCGTTTGTCACCCCAATTCTATAAAAAAAAGTAAATAGGCAGACCATTATTTTATAACTGGATACATTTTGTATATCACGATTAGGACTATCAATACTGATCCGATAAAAATCTATTATTATAAAAATGTTTTAGAAAAGGATTAGAATAGTATAGCATATTTTATTTCAATATAGATTACAAAAATACAAATGTATAATTTTTTTTATTTCGCTTGAGGATATTGTTAACTATTGTCTGTGTCTGTCTAAGAATATAAAAAAATATATCTTTTATATTTTATTCATTTATTTATATGTATACCAGCTGGCCAGGCAGACGTTGTTCTGCCCTTTTCGACGACCCTTCATATAAAAAAATGCTTAAATTCGTAATAAAAATATATTGAGTGTCACTTATCAGGATAAAAACTATCTTATCTCTCAAGTTGGACTAAACTGCACAGAGTCTGCAAAATTTCATTGAAATCAGTTCAGTAGTTTAGGAGTTAATTGCGGACAAACAACGTGACACGTAATTTTTATATATAAAGATTTTCAAGTCAAGAGACAGTTTGCCTATAAGAACTTGGGATTTTTATAGGCAAACTGGCTCTTGCGATGATTTATTCCGGTATAGTCGCGACTTTTCTTATCGACCCATTCATTTAAATGTAAACTGTCCTTGAGTGTCTCCATCCAGAAAGAATCCGTATGTTCCATACGAAAATATGGGCCACTGGGCAAACTGAAGAAGCATATGATATGTCTGTCTCATAATGTGGGACGAATGTACGATGAACCACCGCTCACATATAGAAGCTATATACAGAACTCTAAAAGACCTAAGAAGTTCAGATAAAATTATGGGAGACGTCACCTTCGTGTCTGCCGGTGACTCGTCAAATTCTTCCTGTTGTGCCTAGCGGAACACGTGCAGATCTTAAAGACTGCTTAAAGGCGTCTCCTCTATAGAGCTCTGTACAATCAATCACCTTAAGAACAAACATGAGAACCCATTTAGGAAAAGGTAATACGTATTTCGCGAGTTTTTTATTATGAGTAGGTGACGGGAAAATACCTGAAGAAGATGGCCTTATTAAAAAGATGGGTTAGAAAAGTCTATGTCAAGTCTTAATGATTTGATTCTAAATGTTTACCCAGCAATTGAGAATATTTCTCAAAAAGATTACATATTACAAAAATTCTTCTGTTGATCAAATATTTATAGTTTTGAAATATTAGAAAGAATAGCAGGTAATCAAAAAATATATAAATCCGTTGATACCGTATTAGATACAGAGGACGGTGTGCATTACCCACAGAAATTCCTTAACTCCCTTAACCTTTCAGGACTTCCCCCTCATACTCTAAAACTTAAAGTCGTTATTCCAATAACTTTATTGCGAAACCTGAATCCGCATAATCTGCGCAAAGGAACTAGAGTTCAAGTAAAATCGCTACGTAATAATGTGATAAAGAGTATCACTCTTACAGGACCAGCGGCAGGTCAGTTAGCTCATATTCCCCGCATTCCCATGATCCCTACAGATTTAGCGTTCCAATTTAAGCGAGTACAGTTTCCAATATAATGTTTTTTCGTCTTCACCATCAACAAATCTGAAGGCCAAATTTACAAATATATTGGACTTGACTTAAGGGAAGATTGTTTTACTCACGGACAATAATATATTGGTCTTTCTAGGTCAGGAAATGCGGAGATTCAATTTATATTAAAGCCGCAGAAAAATGGAACAAAAACGAAAATACGAAGAAGTTTTAAAATAAGTTATATCTACTAAGCTAAATCTGATATTTATTATACCTATATAGATTATTGTTCAACCCGGGCAAAGCCGGGGCGAGCTGCTAGTAACGAAAAAATACAAAAAAAGGCTGCGGTTGCCAACCCGCTTGCCAAGCATGGCAACTATAGCAAATATTCCCCCTATGAAGCAATCTATGGGGCAGGTCTATGTTCAGTAGCGGACTTTAATATGCTGTAATGGTAACGGTTCTGATTTAATAATATTGCAGTTTGATAGCATATTAAAAGTGGTAACTCAATTTAAGATTAAAGTAATGTAAGCGCTAATCTATATACATATTACGAATTGCGTGTGATTGCCTAGGAATGGGGCCATCGTAACTTGTAATAAAATACCAATGCTGGCTATAAGATCGCAGGCGAGGCGCACTTATGATGTTGCTTTATTTTTATTATTTTTTACTGTGTCTGTTAAATAGATGTTTTTCTATTCTAAGAATAAAATAGTTATTGTAATAAAATACGAATATAAATAATAAACACAAGTTAGGTAGCAAAGAACCTTTCACTATGGCGCTTCGTTTTAAAATGCCAAATTCTCCTGCGGGTGTACGCCGCACGAGGCGATCGTTGATGTCGCGGCGGCGCATTTGACAAGATACTTTGACACGTGCCAAGGCGGTGCGACACAAAGGCGACCGTATGTAAGCGGACAGATTATACAAGCAACTGGGCGCAATAACATAATGTCTCGCACCTGTGACACTGCTTCTAGGCGTCTGGTGGTATTTTGCATTTGACATATACACGAGATGGTTTTTTATTATAGGCCACAAGATTTGGCTCAGTCGCCACTTACGGCATTCCGGGGATGAGATTAGGTTGTGGATTCCCTTACATGCCTACATGTTATAATTAGCCTAAAACATATTATATATAAACATATTATATATATTTATAAATAATATGCTATATATATACATTATATACTCTGACTTACAATCGCAATAAGCTGGTGATTTATATTGAATGTTAATCAAAGTTCATACCTAATCCTCATTAATACTCATATCAAAAGATAATTTAGGTTATATCTTAATATAATACTTAGCTTCTTTATAATCATTTAAACTATAATTTAAAATTAGAAATTTTGAACAACCGACTTCAATATAAATTATTAAGAATAACTCAAAGACTGATCAGACCTTGATCAAATTTATATGAGACCACATGAGAAGCACCAGCTTTCAAATAAAAAAAGAATCATCGAAATCAGTTCACTCCGAAAAAAAGTTATGAGGTAACACACAAGAAAAAAACATACAGTTGAATTGAGTACCATCTCCTTTTTGAAGTCGGTAGAAAATAATATTACTATTCCCGTAATTTATATCATCCGATAAATTTAATAGAGTGATTTAATAGTTTCTGTTTTTATTTCTATTTCTAATTATAGAGTTTTTTTTTTGTACGAAGCTTATAACTAGAGATTGGACATTATGAATAATGGCCAATTAATCACTTGGTCCATAACATATACAGTGGGAGCCTACTTTCATAAGTGGATATAGTTTATGAGGAAAATCGCAATCGGTTGCTAATTGCTATCAACAAGTACAAAAAATAGTTTTCCTTACCTCTAATGAATGTTAAGTATCATAGTAATATAATTATTGTAATGTTTAGTTGGTATAATATTCATTTTTGAGTAATATGTGTGACTTTTATTTCATGATATAGGTATTCGGTATTCGGCCGAATACGGAATATTACACAAAGTGTAGGCCGAATACCGAATAGAAACAGCATATTCGTGGCATCTCTACTAATATTTTGTGTGTGTTTAAGTGGATCCCTGTTTAGATATACAATTGGACCCGGTAGGTGAAGCTGTTGTCGAGATCCAGAAATCACGCGTGTGAAGCCGGGGCGGATCGCTAGTAAATAATAAAATAACTGCGGTTGCCATCCCGCCTGCCATAAATATCAACTGTGGCATATATATCCTTCCTATGAAGTAATCAATGGGTGAGACCTATGATGATGGAGACCTTGACAGAGCCCATGAAAGTAAATGTTTACAACCTTCCGATGTCAGGCACTTTATTGAGGAATAATTTGCTTATGTATTGCTAGCAAAATTATAATTTTTTTACAAAAGTATGGATATCAAAATGGGCCACACAGTCCACCTGGATGGTTAGTGAAATGTGTGGCCCATAAACACCTACATCCATTATTCATTAAGGATCAAAATGCAGATACGTTGTCGCCCTTAAGGGCCAAGACGGAATGTTTGTTATTAGTAAAAAGGGTGTCCGTTTATCTGTATACAATAATTCACAAAATGTCCATACAAAAATCACTATATAAAATACAGCAGTATTATTCTGCAATTTACGCTGATGTTCTGTGACAGCGTATTCCTTCCCCGGTCTAGCCAACCCTATACTTGTCTCAAATAGCAGAACAGCAATATAACAACATTGCCCACTCCTAGAAAGGCGTTGATCTTTTTGAGGAAAAAAACCCATACGTGCTGCACCCTGCCGCAGCGTGGCTCTACCACGTCAAAAATTTGTTGTACTTACATATAGTTCTCCATTCCGGCATTCTCTTCTTCTTGCAGCCTTCGCATCATCTTGAATAACAAACAGGCCTTCTTAATCGCCAGCTCATACTTCTCCTTATGGCTAAGGTAGTCGGACGGCACCTCGTCAATGTGAATACCCTCCTTGAACACCATTTCCTCTGCGAAACAACGATGATATTAACGTGGAATGCGTAATAGTCTATAAGGAAACACTATTACTAACACTTCGGCCTTAGGCGTAGTTTAGGCAATTTATGGGATTCCCAATTGTAAATTAGCTAATCTTTCGACAACCAGAAAAATCTTAATTTACAATCGACTAACTAAGAATTTGACTACCTCGTTCGTCTAGTGCAGTGATTCCCAACTATTGGTCCGCGGACCACCAGTGGTCCGCAAGCGCTTAAATATGGGCCGCAAGATTAAAATATTCGTTAGTTTTTACAATAAATACACAAATAATACTGTTACTGAATGTTTCTTTTCAGTTTATTATATAATTATGTTAAAAGTTGTGATAATAATTTATTGTGTTAGATTAACACAGTTTTTTTCTTTCACCTGCGGTCCCGTAGTCCCTGCTAGCTACAAAAAAATCGAAGTTAGATTGTAGTAGTGCGACTACTGATCATGAGCGCCAAAAAATAAATCAGTTATTGAACTTTTCTATCAAGAAATTCTCAGTAGCTGCCCGGAGTGAGGAAGTTGCTGGTGTCTCACCCCCGTACCTCGGAAAGCACGTAAAGCCGTCAGTCCTGCGCCTGATCTCTCTCCACTCGTGTCGGTTTACCGTCCCAGCGGACTATGAAAGTGAGGGAAAGGGAGCGCACCTGTGCTTGCGCATACACTTGGGCACTATAATCCTGTCCTGCGCCGATGGCTAGTCTCCGTTGAGACTGACCGCCGTGACCGAAATTCGGTCTGGAGGATATTATTATTATTAGGAGAATAATAATAATAATTGAATGCTCAGAACTAAAAGCTTTACAAAGCTCTATTAAAGTAGCGTATTTGTAATTTTATCATTTTAAAAAAGTGGTACCACATTAGTCATTTCTGTCTTATCGTTGGGGCCTTTAATATTACATAATTTATTTTTATTTAGATAAATCGCCCATAGACTAATATTAAAAATCGATACAGTACAATTATTTTTAAAGATAATAATTATACTTCTTTCATGTGGGACATTGAACCCGCAGTCACAGATTAGATAATAGTAACAGCAGGCCACATCAACTTAGTTAACTTATTACTTACTAGCTGTCCCCCGCGACTTCGCCCGCGTGTAATTTAGGGTTTTAATTATGTTGCGCGGAACCCTAATTCTTTTTGTAAAATGTAAGTAGCCTAAGCCAGGGATTGCATGACCGAAAAATTATGGGTTATAACAGTTAAGGGTATGACGTCATACCTTTTTATTGCAATAGCTTAAAATTCAGATACACAAATTTTTCGGTACCGAAAAATAAGGGTACCGTTATGTTTTTCGCTACTTTAACCATCAACGTAAAGGTTTCTTTCGGTTACCGCCAGCCGACCGTGACACCCCACCGACCCCGCACTGCACGCACTAGCAAAAATATTACCTTAGCTTTATATAATAAGGTGACCCAGTGTGGCGAAAAATATATCATGTTGCTATTTCTTGTCTTCGTATGACTTTGAAACTCAACCAAATTTGAACATATAGTTGGAAATTTATATAATAACAATATATTTTTTAATTTAACAAAGTTCGAATCCGGACGTGTTTTAAAGCAAAACCAAGGCATCGAAAGTTACCCGTCAAATGTAGAAGGTTTTTCGGCAAATGTAAAATACCCAGACCGATAACGGGAGCCGCATTGAACGTGCGAGGCGTCTAATAGTGCGATTGCAATCCGCCTGCTAAGCATTATGGCGATTGCCATATCCTCAGTACAAGAGGAGCCCATATCAATCAGTAAAGTTTCAAACGAAGCTCAACAGACGAAGAGAATAAAGCTTGCATTTTATTAATTATTCTGTCACATAAACAAAGAAATAGAGCTACTGACATAGCCCAACGGTTGAGTTAGCTGAAGTCTAAGTTGCCGCTAGGGAAAAAACATCTTCAAGTGGGAGTCTCGTAAGTCGTAACGGGAAGCAAAGTATATTCTGCCTCCCTCGTCCCACTAGATGGAGTGACGAGCTGATAAAAGACGCAGGACGTCGCAGGACTCTTAATATTATTTTCACCTATTTCAAAATAATTTAAGGTCAAACACAAAAAAAAAGAAAATCCCATCACACTGCGTCGCCATCACCTTAACGGATTCGGTTTATGAAGCTATTTACACAGTATTTTTTTACGTGTATCTATTCGACAGTGGCGAAGCTAGGGCACCAAACTAGGGCAAGCCCAAGATATGGTAACTGTGGTACAGCCACGCAGCAGTTTTTGCTGTTGCACGTATGGGCCGGCTCGAGCCGGGTTGATACCACGACCTCACAGAAAACCAGCGTGCAGTAGAGGTTTACCTCTGTGTTTTGCTTGGTGAGTGCAGGTGGCCGAAGGCCCTTTTTACTGGAAATGAGGCATTCCATCTTAGTCCTCACGGGTGACAACGCATCTACATTTTGATTTGTAATAGAGGATACATGTAGATGTCTATGGGCCGCAGCAACCACTTACCATCAGGTGGACTGTGTGCTCGTTTGTCACCCTTATCCTATAAAAAAATGGTTTGTTGTTTTTTTTTATATTCTACTAAGCCAGCGCTTATCTACGATCCCACCTGATGGTAAGTGGTGATGTAGCCTAAGATGATGAAGCGCACTGACTTAACAAAAGCCTATTTATTCACTCTTGCCTTGAAGACACCCACACTGTGATCGGATGGAAAGACAGATGCTGGCAACTTATTCCACTCCTTTGCTGTACGCATGATGAACGACGTGGCGAACCGTTTGGTTCGAATGCGTGGTAAGTCAACAACGAAAGGGTGGAGACTGGCCGAACGTCTGGTTGTCCGATGGTGGAAGGTAAAGGGGGGAATTAAATTATGCAATTCCTGCGCACACTCTCCGAAATGCATCCTGTAGAAAACCGAAAGGATGGCTTCTATACGTCTGTGTTCGAGGCTGGTAAGATTGGTTTTAACCAAATTCGGGTCACCAATAAGCTTCTTAGCACGCCTTTCCGTTAAGTCCAAAGCTGCTAGGTGACATTTTGCAGCAATACTCCATGCACGACCGGACTTGCGCTTTATATAAAGTATATAAGGAGTTACTTAGGCCCTAAGTTACTCCTTATAGCATCAGCTATCTGCCAGTGAAAGTCCCGTCGAAATCCGTCCAGCCGTTTCGGAGATTAGCCGGAACAAACAGACAGACAAAAATTTTAAAAATTGTGTTTTTGTTATAAGTACCGTATATACTTTCATATGCATGTAGTAAAAAGCTGTTATTTTGACATTACAAACAGACACTTCAATTTTATTTATTTGTATAGATATAGATTACATTATCTTTCGTTCGTCACGCCTAAAGGCATAACCCACCTAGGGTCATTTGAGTTTTTTCGCCTCTCCTTCTCGAATATTAAGTGATTTTCATCGGATCGGTACGTTCGGGTTTACTCGGCACCATTCACTTTTTGTTAATCTCTAAATAGTAAAAAGTTTAGTTGTAATTTCATGTCTTTGGACAAACCGGATTGGCAAAAGTGAAAGTTAATTCCTCCGACTGAGTTGAGAATCCGACTGAGTCGATTAACGCGTATGTGTATGTGCGTGTATACAGAAACGACTTATTGCCATTTTCTTAAAATTACTGAATGTAATAATGTCCTCCAGACCGAATTTTGGTCACGGTGGCCAGCCTTAAAGGAGACTAGACATCGGCGCAGGACAGGGTTATAGTTCCCAAGTGTATGCGCAAGCACAGGTGCACTCTCTATTCCCTCGCTCTCAAAGTTCGATGGGACGGTAAACCGACACGACCGGAGAGAGATCAGGCGCAAGACCAACGTCTTTACGTACTTTCCGAGGCACGGGGGCCAGACATAGAATTTCTTGATAGAAAAGTTCAATTACTGATTTTTTTTAGTCCGACCCGGAATTCGAACCCGGTACCTCATGATCAGCAGCCGCACTACTACAACCACTAGACCAACGAAGCAGTCACTGAATGTACTCAATACTTGTATACACAAATAAGGAAAATACATAAAACACGTATGACGTTAATGCACGTATAGCGTATATACATGGTACATCCCATGTGACACATTTGCAGGAGGCGCGCGATACAACAACGTACGAGTTATGTACAGCAAGGTTGTGATTGGTTCAACATAATCCAAACTACCTTACTCCACGAAAAATACATACTATAATACATAATAGAATATATTAGTATATATTCTCAAAATATATACTAATATAAAACTAATTTGTCAAACATTGTCAACAAAACAAATGAGTTTTTTTCAATCTCAGCATCAGCTTTCAGCCATAATCAAATTTAAAAAAAATTCTACGATTTTTTGTTCGAGCGAATCTGTTTTTCTTCCGGAAAATGGAAAAAAGTGAAATAAGAACCGTGATTAGATATTTCGTCAAAAAAAAAAATGACACCAATCCAAATCAAGGAAGACATGGATAACATATTAGGTGAATCTGTACCTTCGTATTCCGCAGTAAAAATTAGGCAGCTTTGATCAAACAAGGCAGAGAAAGAGTCGAAGATGACCCTAGAAACGTCAGAAATCATCGACAAAATTCACAAAATGGTTTTAGAAGACCGAAGATTGAAAGTGTGTGAAATAAATGACACTATAGGGATCTCAAATGAGCGGGTGTTTCATATTTTAACCGGCGAACTAGTAATGAAAAAGGTGTCAGCAAGATGGGTGCCACGTTTGTTGACCGCCGAACAAAAATTCAACCGGGTTTCTCAAGGGAGAATCTGTGGTTTCCATCTTTCAATCAAATAATTGCGACTTTTTAAGATTTATAACTACTGATAAAACTTGATTCACCACTATATTCCTGAGACAAAACGCCACCGAAGAAAGCCAAGTCACAAAAGTCGGCGGGAAAAGTGATGGCATCAGTGTTTTGGAATTACAAGGGAATGACTTTTATTGAATACCTTCCCAAAGGCCAGACTATAACAGGCCAATACTAGGCTA